CCGCAGACATTCGTTCTCACAACGAGTCATCGGTGCCTGGAACGGACTGCCCAAAGAGGTCGTAATGGCAAACTCCACTGATGCATTCAAAGGCAAACTGGATGGACATTTACTTAACATATACCGTTCATACGCACAAGGAATATTTATCTCACCTTCTTCGGGCAGAAACGGAATCTTCTCACCACTTTTCACTCCGACGAAAGTATTATCTTTCAGAGGGAAAGCATTTTTGTTCGTGAAGGCTAACTAAAAGAAAAAGTTGATTGCATTCCACAAGCACCTTTTTGTAAATGTTCTCACAGGCCACACAAAATTAAACTGAACTAGACGTTCTTATTGTGTTCAGCAGATTTGCCATCACTAGTCTCTTCTTAGTAAGCATTATTTCACAGCCCCAATACATGATGACTGAACTAGTGATAGCGTCACCAGAAAGTCGAATTATTACAGACAGCGAAATGACTACAGAAGAAACTTTAAAAATTGATTGCATACATTACAGTCTGAGGCCTAAACGCAAGCTGGATCGCGCTCTGGTATTATCGGCCTATCCATTCCTAGCCAAGTGGGGTTGGGGCTGCGTGCAATTACTAAACTCTGTCAAATGCGTGTACATATGCTCGAAAAACCTTATCACGGGCCGCTTTGCAACTATCAGGGGTTATCACCATGGTGGTTTTGTCGGAAAAAGCAGCAGCAGAACTGGTTGGATGCAGTACGTTGTACCTAATAATTCACCTAACCAAAATGGCTATTATTTGTGTAGTTTAGGCAACATGACCTTGCATTAATCAAAGACGAGATGGCTCTTTATCATGATATATTCAACTCGCTAAAACCTTAATCAGTGTGATTTAATAGTTATGAAAAAGCAGCAGGCACTCTCCTGCAGCCGAACGACATTAACGAGCAATATCATATCTATCTCATTATAATTTTCTTCTCATTTTGCTATCCTCTATTTTTTCCCTTCGGCGTTATTGTAAAAGCAGAAAGATTGCGCAGGCATAGTAAATAGCACCGTAAGTTTTATTCTTACCCGACAGTTTCCAATCGCGGGAACCGTAATATTAATGATTGACGCGTCCGCGTCTATTGTTCGGCTACTCCACGTGCATGACATGTCGTGAGATGCAGCTGCAAATTTAAACGAAAACGATGACAGGTTTGTGTTGCTTTTGTTTAAAAAGCCGGTAGGAGTACCTCATTGGGCCGCCCAGAGAGAGTGCGAAACGCGCACCTCAGGCTTAAGGGACCCTGATTTTATGGGAAAAGGATGGGTTGGGCATGTCAGAGACAAATTGGATCGCAGTTATCCTGTAAAATAGAAACGTTACGAGGGAAAGTTGGGCGCGTACCCAACCGTCAGGCGAGGACACTGAAATAGGCTTTAAAGTATCGATAACCCTCGACTGACGAACGGCACGAGCGTGTATGTCGTGTAGTATACCCTAACCTCGGGCGGGATCATTTAGGTCCATTTTCAATTAGTAACACCAACCCCAGCCAGAATAAAAGTGAATGAGCGAGGAAGGTTTGAATACCTTGGAATTCACCCTACTTAACATTTGTAAGTGAGCGATTACTCCCGCAGTTAATGTTAAAAAGCCATTTTGCTTAATATACTGATTTAAGCAGTTATTGTATGCGGTGACCTTCGGAGGACTCCTCTGTAATTCAATGCCATCATACAATCCCTACTGGGTCGACGGCTGACATTCAGAAAACCGGAATATTGTAGGTAATCCGATCTACTTCAAATTTGTAAGTAGGCGATTATAATATATAAGGTCCCTTCGAAGACGCCACTTGGAGTCTACCAAAAATTCAATTTCTTAAAAGCAAAGTAAACTGAAAATCTCATCGATTGTTACAGATTCCGAAATGTTTAACATAGTTTGCTTAACCTCCAATAAATTTTGTTGAGCATCGTAACGGGTGAGATCATGCAACCCAGGATGCTTATGTCGATATGTTTGCGTAGGCATGGGGTATATAGGATACTAATATACAAAGTTATAGCACAATTTACACTGAAAAATTGATTTAATGCTAGCCTTCTACGCAGGGGGGCTAAGTTTTAAAATAAATCTAAAGCATACATAACAAAATGTACAACTATCTCCATCTCTAATATACATTAAAAATAAACTATTACCGGCGAAAATATACAGTCCTGCGAGTCCTGCAAACAACTTTCAGGACGAAATTTAACTTGGTATTTGAGCGTAGATCTGGACAGGTTATTTCAATCACTGAGCGGATTTAATAATAAGAAGGGCTTTGGTTTGGAAAACTGCCCTCTTAGTTAAAGTTATTGGGGGAAATACGCACTCATTTTGGCTAAATCATGAGTAAGTTTATATTGAAGAAATTCCTTATGCCATAAGGAAAGACAGAACCAAACTTTCTCCTATGCTGTGGAAGAATTCCATAATTAGTAAAAAAAGGTGGAATAATAATCCCTTACAGAACTTGAAAATTTTGATCGAAATTGACCAAATGGAAGTGAAGCCAAGTTTAAGAAATCGCACTTAATTTAAGAACCAAGCAAGAATGAAGGTTTTTTATATTATGTTTAGCTATCCTGTGAAGTTTTTTTGCACAAAATGCAGTAATAAAACTTTTTGGTAGCACATTTTCTTTTACCGCACTGCTGTTCTCGTCTATATCTTAGCGCGAAGGCAATCCATAGAAGGCCTTATTTAATGTAAGTCATGTAGAAATATAGTTCTTTGTAAACAATACGTTCCGCTCAAACAGAACAGAAGACAGACAGAAGAATAAATAGTATTTCAAAAAATGATCATATATGTGACCTGTTTCTTTGCATTCGCACGCTTATTACGGATCGTGGAATTAATCCCCTTAAGCGGAAAATAATCCTTATAAAGAGAAAAGTAGGTTCTTTCACCTCCAGTCAAATATAATCGTTTTTCTTCAGGTTAATTAAAGAAATTGTCAAAAGTCTCTAACTTCACTGTGACATTTTCTTTGGAAAAAGTTAATATACACATAAATTCGTCAGCTAAATATCCAATAAAAGCATTTTTAAAGAGGTAACCTATTATGAAAGGTTTTTTTATTAATCTTAGAAATAACAATATGCGTGGTATCTAGCAGACATTTTGTATGCTAGACAATGTGGTTCGCTGTTTTGAAGCATTTCCACGTTTGAACTACATGGCCATCTGCATAAGAACTAATATCCAAAAGCTCGTTTTTTCGTAAATTATGTTTATTTATATCTTATTTTAAAGTTTTTGATGTACACGTTGAACGGAAGCGCAATTCATAAACTTATCAATGATGACACCGAAAACGAGCGAATAAATGAGAGACTATATTCCAAGGTATTCATGTACGATTTCTGCGTACTCATTACTGTATTTCAGTCTGCTCGAAAATAAGACTGTCTGCAAACAGGAGAGAGCGCAGTTGCCGATTGATCTGATTAATGTCTTGTGTTTGCCCATTCAATCAAAATTTTGCAGAGGGCACTTTTACGGAAACGATCGACTGTGATGCTAATAGTTAAAAATGTGAGTATGCCAAGTCACAAGTGAACATTAGAAGCAGGACGGCAGGATATATATGAGGTCCAATATAGTGGAATTACAGGTAATTTAAAATGGTCTGGTAAATCCGGAGTCAAGCATTGCAAACTAGTTCCTTCACTTTTATGCTTACATAAACATGAAAATATCCAATGATTTTTTTACATTGAGAATAGATGAACGTGTAATTGGGGTTTAGTGACATCGTGAACTGCCCGATTTTTCTCTTTATCTGCCAAGACCT